CCGTCGCGGCGGCAGCGGCGCACGGCGCCCGCCAGCCGCCACGGCAAGCGGCACGGCAAGAAGGCGCGGCTGCGCTGCAGCAAGAAGCCGCTGCACGTGAACTTCAAGGAGCTCGGCTGGGACGACTGGATCATCGCGCCCCTCGAGTACGAGGCCTATCACTGCGAGGGCGTGTGCGACTTCCCGCTGCGCTCCCACCTGGAGCCCACCAACCACGCCATCATCCAGACGCTCATGAACTCCATGGCGCCCGGCTCCACGCCGCCCAGCTGCTGCGTGCCCACCAAGCTCACGCCCATCAGCATCCTCTACATCGACGCGGGCAACAACGTGGTCTACAAGCAGTACGAGGACATGGTGGTGGAGTCGTGCGGCTGCAGGTAGCGAGCGGGCGGCCGCAGCCGGGCTCCGCGGGCAGCCCCGACGCCGCGGTGAGGGCCGAGGCGGCACCTGCGCCCCCGGGACGGGGGGCTCGGCGGGCGGGGAGGGCCCTGCAGCCCCCCCGCCGCCTCCCCGGGCCGCGCTGATCCGGCGATCTGGCCCCTGCGATGCCCCGAGCGGCCGGAGCGCCGGCTCCGAAGCGTTTCTGTCCCGTTTCTGCCCTCTTTCTGCCGCATTCCTGCAAGATTACCGGCCAGAAACAGCCTGCGGCCACCCCCTCCCGCGGAGGAGAGGACAAAGACAAAATGAAAAAAAAAAAAAAAAAAAAAAAAGGAATTGTTCGGGATTGTAATTACCAGCTAGGTTACGTTTTAAGACAGTAATGAGAAACTGTGAAAAGAGCGAAGAGCCGCAGAAAGCCCGGCCTGGGGGGGACGGCGACGGGGATGGCAGCGAGGAGCAAGCAGGGCACCGAACAGGGCACCGAACAGGGCACCGAGCAGGGCACCGAACAGGGCACCGGGCCGGGCACCGAACAGGGCACCGAGCGGGGTACCAGGCCGGGCACCGAACAGGGCACCGAGCAGGGTACCAGGCCGGGCACCGAGCCGGGCACCGGGCCGGGTACCGGGCCGGGTACCGGGCCGTACACCGAASAGGGCACCGGGCCGGGTACCGGGCTGGGCACCGAGCAGGGCACCGGCCCAAGCGGCCCGCGCCCCTTCTCACTGCAGCCGTCGCAGCTGCAGCTCCAGCCTTCCCCCACACTCGTTTCTAGGATCGTTACCTTTTCTGGGTTTGCAGAGCTACAAACTGGTGGAAAAAAAAATAGAAAAAGAGAGAGAATAATAATATAAAATGCTAAAAAAAAAAAAAAAAAAAAGACTCGATCAGGAGCAATAATTTAAAAATGCACATTTTGCTTTGGATGCACTGTTGTTCATATAAAAGTTGTAAATATTTGTTTATTTAAACAGACTGAAAAGTGCAAAATGGAGATGAGCAACATGCATTTTTTTTAATGTACAAAACATTATATGCACTCCAAATGTTATAATTTCTAATATTTTTAAAGTTTATATTTGAGTTGTACAGAATTAAGCATTAATCAAATATTTCATCCTTACTTAACATTATCATTTCCTTAAAATATTATTACAAGATTTAAATTCTGTTCTAATAATGGAGAAAAAGTTTTTTTTTACTGTCTACCTCACTATAATGCAAGTATTTACAACTCTAAAGTTATCTGAGGTAAATTAATATTCAGAACATTTTTACAATACATCTTTACTGGAYGATACTACAACTATTACTGTATTATTAAACCATTTTTTTTTTCAAAAAGTCAGTTTGCTTTTATATGTTCCATTATTTGATTAAGTAATTATGAGTTCTCAAGTAAACGTTGGCTCCAGTTGTCAAATGCTGTCAGGTTAAGTTGGAGTGAGTGCCACTTTAAGACTTACTTAAAGCCATTTTTCCTATACGAAAACTTCTTTTCTGTATGCTCRTAAAATCTTTAGTTTCCTCCTTGGTATATGCTGGTGGCATAAATATGCAAGAAGTTGCATTATGATTTTACGTATTTTATGCAGTGATTTATGTTAATGTAATTGGGGGAATGCATTAAGTGGAAAAAATTCAGGCAAGCATTTGTAAATACAGTCTGTACCGGGCACGTTTATATACACTGTATTATGATGACAAGCGAAAAGATAATGAATGTTTTATAAATGATATTTATTTTTGATGCAATGGGTAATATATTTATTAAACATTTCCTGGTTATCTCTTAGATAATGAAGAACTATTCAATGAGTAGCTGTTTCGCTGGGAGAGGATCACAGCCCTCTCGTAAGGCTGGGTCTACAGAGGCCCCGGTGAGTGTGGGGGCTCAGAGCTGGGTCTCTTCAAGGAAAGGTTCATCTCAAACCCGTGAGAGCTGGAAGAGCTGCTCACCTTGTAGCAACTGTGGAATGTGTGTGAAAACAAGGATCTTTTCATGGCAAGTGGAATTTCTTTTTACCAGATCACAAGATCTGATCTCCCACGTTTTTCTCTGGCAAACGCTCCCTTTCTGGGACTGGGACGTGAACAAAGGATTCCAGAGCTGGACCTGGGAATGTGAATGAGAGACTGAGTGACCACCGCGAGGGTCCGGCCTTAGTTTGTGTGCAGCTTTCCAGAGGGATACGTCTGCGTGGTATTTAATGGTGTTTCACATTTGTGACTAAAAGTAACTTTGGAAATCACCGCTTTAAGGCGAGCTTTAGCTCTCCTTAGCCTGACCTAACTGTGTGGGGTCCCACTGTGCATCCAGCGCCTACTCTTATTATAACGGAAAGCCGTGGAAAAATGGTACAAAGAAAATCTACACACCAGCAAGCTGGAGTACACTCTATAACAAAAGGCAATCGAGATAGATAAGATGTCATAAACTGGAAATGACCATGATGGCAAAATCTGAAATTTTACAACAAAATTCACAGACAGCAAAGCACTTCAAGGCTGAATGAATCATCTCCTAATTTCACTGTCCAGTGAGCAAACGAAGCATCAGATGTATAGACAGTGCTTCAGCTCAAATAATGCAGCAGAGCTTTTCAACGCAAGTTCCTTCCAGTACAAAACCAGTATCGCTTCTATTACAAGCCCTTACTACATGCTCATGAGCAAGCTGTCTTTTCCTATGCACCTCAGAATTTGTGCTTGGGATTTTTGCTGGACGAAACACACTCTGAGAGGCCTGAGGAATCTCTCYTTAGAGGATGTCCTCAAAGCAGCAGCAATGAGATTTTCCTGTCTTGGATGCACGTGGCAGAGCTCTTTGTACCTTCTCTTCTAGCTGAATTTTGGGGAACAGCTTTGATGGCCAGAAAACGTTTGTCCCAAGTGGCTGTGCTTGTTGGCCTCCAGGCAAAGAAGTGGATCTGAAAAGACACAAAAATGGTCCTAAGCTGGAGTATCTATTTTGGAGACGAGTCTTTCGGATTTTGATATTAGAAGAGAGGAAACGCTGCCCTTTCTGAGAATGTCTTTTGGATACTATAGTTAATATAACATTATCTAAGCCTCTTTTGGCAAGTTTGCTCTTCCTAAAGATGGAATCTCTGCTTGTTTCCTTTTTTAGTTCTACGATATTCTTTTGTACAAAACTGAGAAGGAGCAGTGCAATTTGGAAGAGGAGACACGTAAGGATGGAGCAAAGCTGAGAGATTGTCTTTCCTTCCTTGTGCCTCCCTTCCTCTCTCCTGTCCTCCCTCTAAGTGCTCACCAGTGACCTGAACAAAAAACACCCGTGGTTATTGTTTCAGCTTTTAGCACAAATAATGCAAGCTTTTGTTATGGAGCAATCCAAATATGGTAATTCTGGGGAAGTACAGCTCAAATCAACGTGTCCTGCCAATGTAATAGGAATTGTCTTTCCCCTTTCTCAACTCCCCCTGCTCAAGATCGTGTTCAAAGAGGGGAAATAATTCCTTTTATTATGTTGCTGGCCAGAAGAGGGAGCAGAATCTATTAAGTAGTGGGATGAGATAGCAGCAAATAAAAGCTGAAGTGAGCCTGCCTGCCTGGGTCTTGTGTACCAGGCAACGTTTCGCAGTTCATCCATCTCACTGACTGTGTTGCTCAAACACGACAAAACCACTGACACTTTCTTGAAGTATAGACATTGGACAGAACAGTTAAATAGAGAATTTAGGGTTTTTTTTTCATCTGCATTAAAAAAAAAACCGGAGGGTGTAAGCCCTTTCTTTGTAAGTGGTGCTCCTCCTTTTTAGACTCYGAACTCCCTCTTAAGCAGACTTATGGAGGCTTTTATAATTTTGCAAATGATTTGTGGGGAAAAATAGTGGATACCCTTCCATAGACAGTAGGCCCAGCCTTCTTCCTTGCTGTCTCTGTGTTGATGAGAGGTCATTTTACTGAAATGTGTAAAACAAGCATGTTTACTTTTACACAGATGTGAGGCCAGAAGTACCTCAAATGTTACCTAGGGTCAGAGTTGATCATCATGTATGAAACATGTTTCTTTAGAATCTCCTAATCTCAGTTTCAGAAGCCCATCTGAAGCCTTGAGGAAGTCAAATGACTTAAATTTATACTCACCAATCATTCAGAGTCCAGGCATCAAATCAGTGGATTTCATTAGCCTATAGTTTGTTCTGCCCTATAGAGGCCCATGGCTATACAGCACTATACAGCTTTAGAGAGAGGTTCTCTTGTCAGCATTCAGCTCTATTATATGATTAGATTTCCAAATATTTGCTCTTGTTTCTTTACAATGTCACACTGGCTGTAAACTGTGTATGTTCCAGCTGTTCATTATTGAGAGAGGAAAGTCAACACAGTTCCACTACTGTGCTCATTGCCTGCCCCTTCCTCAATGACTACAGCCCTGAAAGCCATCACCTCTCCAGCCTATGTTGGTTAATATGCATTATTATTTAGCACATTGTATTGTTGGGTATTCAAAAGGATTTTCCCAGTGTTTTAAACTGAGCTGTTTTTTTGCACTGCCTTAGCCCAGCCTATGGGCTGCTATGTTCAACTATGTTTTACATTTTGGCTACCTCAGTCTGTGACAAAACTAGAATTGGTTTTAACTTGACAGTCAGTTGACCCTTTTCCTGGAACTGAGAAGTCTACAGCCAGAGTGGGAACTTTTATCCTGTAAGGCTACTTTTCCTGCTAATAACTTTCCATCCTTTTTTTTTTTTTTTTTTTTTTTTTTTTTTTAGAGATTTTCCCCCCTGCAGATCATTATTTAATCTGTGGAAGATGGTAATTTTTCTGACTTTAAGATTTTTAGTGGACTTAATGCTTAGGGGAATACTAGGGTAGAATAAGTGAGGAGACTCCTAGGATGCCAACATGTTAATCTAGCATTGAGAGCTTTGAACCATGTGAACCACTAAGGAAATGCGCAGGTGAAGAAGAAAATTGGTGTTTTGGTTGAGAATTTATTTCAAGGGTGGAAGTGGGAAATTGCAGGAGGG